TCCCAAGAATGGCGTTAACTCAGAAGATGACCGAAAGCCGGCGGTACTGCGGTGCAAAGCAAGTCCTCGGTCGGAATTTATGAAAACGATGTTGAGAGGAAACAGGCTTGGCTAAACTAGGAGAAACTGGGCCCAGAAGGAACAAGACGTTCTCAGAAAGCCAGGTTGGGCTGTGCAGTTCTCTGCACGGCATTTTCACACCGACTTGCGTGCATTTTCTTTCCCTTAATAACAAAGGCGGCGCACTTGACACCGAGCCGGCTCCAGGTCGTGACGATCTAGACTGGACCATGTAAAAAACGAATACAGCCGAGGGGCCAGAGAGAAGGTTCAGTGGGAACAAGCCCCAGCCACCAAGCCCGGTGCTGTGAGTGGAATCCCCAGGATGTACATTTTCCTCTGAACTCTACATGCTCCCCGTGGCACGTTCGTATCCTCTCAACCCACATACATGCACAATAAATAACTAATAAATGTTCTGAAAAAGATTCCAACTGTAGAAGAAGGAAGGAGAACCAGTACCTTTCTGAACTTTCTTAACTTCGGTCTCTTTGAATGAATCTTCAGAGCAGAGGTCAGTTATAACCTTGGGAAGGCTTGAGAAACACCATGCTGGGACGCATCCTCTCCCTAATGGGTTTCACGTCTTCCTGCTCACACTGAATTCCCCCCTAAGTATGAGTCTAGAAACAGGTGACTGAACCACCCTCTTTATTTCAATAGGAGAGTTTTATACTTAGATAAATGTGCACAAAACGCTGTTTGGGATTTTCCAGATATTTAACCAATCCACTTGGAAGACTAAGATCTTGGACACGAAAATCATATCCAAGATTCAATGAATTAATATTTGTTGATCAATCCAATACAAAGTTGTAAAACTACACTGGTTCCGGTTCCATTCTGTGCTCTACTTGCTATGTGCTACTGGAACTAGGCTGAAGATTTAAACACACACACACACACACACACACACACACACACACACACACACAGAGAGAGAGAGAGAGAGAGAGAGAGAGACAGAGAGAGAGAGAGAGAGAGAGAGAGAGAAGAATGCCAAGAATGCCCCCTTTATTGTGCTCAGGGGCAGCTTCTGTAGGGCTTTGGCCACGCCCCAGCTCTCGGGATCTTTTAGCTGCAGACTCATCAGAACCCACTCCCCTGCCATCAGGATCTCAGGCTTCAGAGCAGAGGAAAACAAGTTGTAAAAAGGAAATTCAGGGTCTAATGGTCCGCAGTTCCCAGTACAAAGTGTGTCAATGAATGGGACCAGGTCAATAGAGGTGAAATCTGTTTTCATGATGTGGGAAGCTGTCAAGTGTCGATTCCAGAAACAACAGTGACCAAGATGAAAGGAAAGATACCACAGAGAGCAAGTTTGTAAAGAGGTTGGCACAGGGAAACAATAGCATCAGGGGAAGTCAGAAACGTATCTTGCTGGCTCATCATGTGTCTGGATTTGGTTTGAGGAAGGCACGACTTCAAGTCACCCGCGTGTCATTTACCATTTGATAATGGAGAGGAGAACAAGTGCACTTGCAGTGGATACTCGCTCCGCTACGAGTGCAGTTGCAGTGGATATTCGCTTTGCTAGGAGTGCAGTTGTATGGGTATTCCCTCCGCTAGGAGTGCAGTTGTATGGGTATTCACTCCGCTAGGAATGCAGTTGTATGGGTATTCGCTCCGCTAAGGAGTGCAGTTGTATGGGTATTCGCTCCTTCTATGTACCCACTACATGCAGGGACGTCCATGGGACACCAAGAAAGTGGAAAAAGATTCAGCTACACTGCCAAGTCCTAAAAATGGGGGTGGTGATGTGTGACTTTAGTCTTCAAGATAGGAAACAGGAAAATGTACTAGCAAGAAGTCTTGAGTGCAACTACCAGGAAAGCCAAGCGTGAAAGAGAGGAGGAGGGCGAGGAAATCCATGGATCATGCTGGCAACACCAGGATCAACTAAACCTACTCAAGCCTCAGGGTATGGATGATCATGCTACCTACTTTACAAAGGAAAACTTGGTGGCCTAAAGCCTCATGTTATTAGCTCCAAAAATCTGTGGGTCAGGAACCTGTGTGGCTCAGCTGCAATCTGTGGCTCAGCTTCTCTCCCAAGATGTAGCCACCTGAAGGTCCACCTCTTCCGTGGCCGTCAGCAGAGTCCAATATTTGAGGGGCCTTAGTTCCTTGGCTGGTAACTGAACACTTTCCCTCTGTTCCGTGGATAGACTGCTCTCTCCACAGGGTAGACTATAACACGGTGGCTGTCTTTCTGTGGAGCAATCTAGCAAGACAGAGAGAGCAAGATGATAGACGCAGAATCTTTTTATTGACTTCTCCTCTTTGCCCACATATACCCAAAGGTGATGGCCCTTGGAGGCCATTGTGGAAACTGCCTATCACTGGAGCATTACTTGGATCAGATTGTGTCACATGTAGTTATGTGGGGCACAGAAATGTTTGTACCCTTGTGTTAAGAAGAATGCACAATTCTAACTTCACTGGATCATAATGTTAAAAGGAAATAGGGCTGCAGGGCAGTGGTGGCGCACACCTTTCATCCCAGCACTTGGGAGGCAGAGGCAGGTGAATCTACAAGTTCAAGGCCAGTCTGGTGTCCAGAGCAAGTTTCAGGACAGCCAGAGTTCTTAGACAGAGAAATCCTGTCCTTTTTTTTTTAAAAAAAACAAAACAAAACAAAACAAAACAACAAAAAACACAGGGTTTTATTTCCATCCCATTGGGCAGGGCTCGGCAGGGTAGGGAGCAGGCTCTCATGGAAGAAAGAGGCCTCTATTCTACTTGCTAGCGATGAGGGGGTTCCATAGCACAACGATGACTGAGTCCCCTCGCAGGAACATCTTGGAGATGTAGTGGTCCTTGTTGACAGGCTTGGACTTCTTCTTGCCCTTGCCACTCTTGGGGACCTCAGTCCACATCTCCTTCACATTCTCCAGCACCATGTTGCAGTGCCTGTCACAGGCCTTCACCCGCCCCAGGAGCTTCTTGTTGTTGCGACAGTTAATGAGCACCTGTGTGTTGTTCTTGACTGACTGCGTGAGCACTGAGAGGGGCCTGTGTTGAATTCCTCCTCCTCCCGCTTCTGCAGCTCCTCTGGGGTCATCTCACTCTTGGGTTTGTTGAGGAAACTCATGGTGGAGGTTTCACTTGCAGATCACTCCCGCCGGCAGCACGTTGCTCAGCAGAAATCCTGTCTTGAAAAATAAAAATGAAAAAAAAAATTTAAAAAGAGAAAGAAATAGGGCTTTAAAAGCTGAAAGGGTGATTTAAATTTTTTTTTTTTAAAAAAAGAGCTTTAGTGAAGGAGGTAGCAGGTTAGAAAAGGAAAACCAAGGGCTTATGGGAAAGTTAAAATTATTATATAAGAAAGGTGTGTAATGGGTTGGAGAGATGGCTCAGAGGTTAAGAGCATTGCCTGCTCTTCCAAAGGTCCTGAGTTCAATTTCCGGCAACCACATGGTGGCTCACAACCATCTGTAATGAGGTCTGGTGTCCTCTTCTGGCCTGCAGGCATACACACAGACAGAATATTGTATACATAATAAACAAACAAACAAACAAATAAATAAAAAGACTAAATAAAAGGAAAAGGAGGAAGATCCTAAAAAAACAAAAAGAAAGGTGTGTATTTAAATATTGAAGTAGTCTCAAAAGATCCTAGGCTAGACAAATAGACTCATTCACATGAAAACAAAATGTTCCTTAAAGACAATGTAAAGTTCTGAGGCTTTTGACTATCCTCACACAGCAAAACCATGCTTTCAAGGGCGCAAAGCTATTCTGCTCCCGGGCTGTCCCCATCTAAGATTTTCTGTTAATGGAAGATGGCTAAACTCTAGCCAACTAACGGCCGTTTCCATAAACGGAAACATGTAAAGAGAAGAAGAACAATTATGTTGGGGGAAAAATTCTACACAACAGGTCATTTCTTTTCTAATGGGGTCGGATTCAATACTCTTTCCCACCAGGGGTGCATCTTCCAGCCATCAAAACAACTCCTTCCCCCTAAGCCCCACTTGATACATGTGGTACTCAAACGATCTGACGAGTGTCTGAAATAGTATGCACCTGCTCATCCTGTCTGTCTGTCTCTCTCTTTTTTGACCTAACACTTCTATTGGGAATAAAAAAAGATCCGTGAACCAGGCACTAGTGCCTTGTTCCTGCAATCCGCCCAGCTCTCCCGAGGTGAGGCAGGAAGATCAGGAGTTCAAGGCCAGCCTCATCCACACAGTCAGGATGAGGACAGTCTGAGCTACACGCTGCCCTGCCTCAAATACAGAACAAACTACAACAAACCTATGAATCAAAGAATATTAACCAACTGATTTAGGACTTGGAAAAGTGTGTCGTTGGTTAGATGGCCGTTTAATAAAGTCCACAAAACCAGGTAAAAAGCAAGCAATGGATGAGCTAGAACTGTTATTATTTGGATTCATGTGCAAGAGTCACGAGCACATTTTCATATATATGTAGTGCATTCTTTAAAAACCCAGACAGACTCAGGCAACCTAAGCTAGTTTGAAATGTGGGCAGCGCTCCAATTTGCTAGGTTTCTCTAAGGAAATTATGCCGGGAAACAAACCTCCTGAAGTGGAGACTCTGAGGGAGGACAGTAGGCACACACGCCCACTCTTCTAAAAATGTATTCTTGTCGCTATTTAATTGGTCGTCTTCTCCAGATCCCTCTCTCTCATTGATCGATGTTCCAGTCGATCATTCCCAGACCCAAGCATCCCATTGGTCCGCCGCGATGCTTGGGCAGGAGGAGTTCCCCAGTGACGTCAAAGAAGCTCTCCGCCCACATTCCGAGGTCTGGGCGGAGATTTCCCGCGACTCTGCCTCTGGGGGTGGGACATGGCCGAGAGAGAGACTTTTGATACGGTACACTTGGAAAGACGGGCGTCCGATTGGTCGGCGGCCTGGAAGGAGGTGGGGTCGCCTCTGGGTCCAGGAGCCGAACTCAGGAGCCCGGGGGAGTCTCAAAGTTTGTCTGCAGCAGTAGAGGGGAGTGGGCTTGTCGCGCGAGGACTTTTTTGGGATGAGATCTGCCTTCTTGCCTTCCTTTTGGATGCACAGCCCGATTTAACCCCTGCATCTTCGGCCCGAGCCCAGCAGGCTTGTCCTCGCCGGGGATTCACAGATCTCCGAGGACACGGGTCGCGGAGCTCTCGGCGGGGCTCTCCCTGGTTCTTGCGCCAGTGCATAAGTTCCACGCGCGCACACTCAAGCACTTACGGAAAGAGGCGTCTCGCCGGCCCGTGGCGGCTCTGAGAGGTTTCCTCCTGCCTCAGCATCCCCGGCCCCGCGGGGCTCCCACCGCCATGGAGGTGCTGGAAAGCGGGGAGCAGAGCGTCCTGCAATGGGACCGCAAGCTGAGCGAGCTGTCAGAGCCCGGAGAGACCGAGGCCCTCATGTACCACACGGTGAGGACCCGCGGCCAGGCCAGGGGAGTTTTGAGGAGAAAGGCAGTTGTTGTCACCAGCTGGAGACCTGGGAACTGGGAGGCAGCGTCCGGGAAGTGGCATGACCATAACAAGAGGTCTGGGGATGGGAGTTTTCCTCTACGAGCAGGGAAAGGTGCCCAGCTGAGCCCTTTAAACTTTCTTCCGAGTAGTGACCCTTTGTATTCCAAAGCCGTTTATACTATTTCTCTATCGGCAGCACATTTCCTATTGCTAACGGTACTGCAGTGCTGGGAAGGGTATGTGTTTTGAGAATAATGCCTCCACCCAGTTACATTGATTGTTTTCGTGTGTGTGGTAAGGTTTGTTAAAAAAAAAAATTGGACAAGCTAATATAGTATTTTCTTACCATCTGTTTATCTTCTTTCCCCTTTCCTGTTCCTTAACTTTTTAATTTATATCTTTAAAATGTATGTGAGTGTTGAAAAGCCTTCTTTCTCCACACGGGATGGAGGCCCTCCTTCGCTGCTTCAGCTACACAGCCTCGAAGATCTGCTTCCTCCCTTTTCAGGGGCAAGAAGTCCGGAAAATCTGAGGCAGCTGCACATTTCAGAGAGGCTTTGGGGAGAGATGGGACAGCTCACCAGTTCCTTCCCGCAGGGACCTCTTGGGAGACTCAACTGTCACATAGCGTGGCTCATTTAAAGACTTCACTTCCAGCCTTTTGGCATTAAATTTGCAAAAGGGAATCCTGTTTCTGGGAGCCAGGGCCGGTATACTGCTTTGTTTGAAATTTCTGTTAGTTTGTAATGACACACAGAGAGAGACAGAGACAGTGAGACAGACAGACACTAGGTAAGGACAGGCTTGGCTGCTTTTCTGTCTTGGTGCTGTTAATGGGGTCAGTACCAGGATATTTGAAACTTTTGCAAAAAATGGCCTTCAGGCTCCACCTCTTTGGCCTCTGCTGCTGGCTGACTGTATTTTGGGAAAAGGGATGGGGCCTCCCTGCTGCTTCCCACCAAAGCGTTTGTGGTGACTGAGAAGGGTTGGTTAAAAAAAGAAGCCATGTGCAGGGTTGAGAGGGAGCGGTAGTTCACTCTGGGTTAAAAGCCAGATGTTGAGTGTGATCCTGATCATCTTGGCCTTTGCCCACTGTCTGTCCCGAAGAAGCCTTTGGGTTGGGAGGCCAGAGGTGCTTCATGTGCTGGAGAAAGAGCCTGAACATTCTGACCCATAGCTGTTTCCTAAATTTGGGGACTCCAGCTGTTTCCCCTGACATGAGCTACAGCTTGACCATGAGGGAGAGCAAGCTTGTTTTCAGCATCAGCTCTCATCGTGAAAACCTCTCACCCAGCCAGTGGGATAAAGTGTGCAGACAGCCACAGTACTGAGATGCTGAGAGAAGCCAGGATGAGCTTTAGGTACCCTGGGCTTTGAGATGAGTCCCTACCTGGGACGGGCAGGAACTGTAGGACAAAAGCTTGGCTTGGCTCCAGCTACTGTCTTTACAGTGTCAGAGCTTGAGACCTTGCATCCCTTTTGATAGCAACAACTCAGGTTTCCTGTGTCGTTGTGATACAGCAGTGATGTGGGGTCCTTTTTCTGACAATCCTCTGCTTTTCAACAACTGTTAGGGTTTTCAGGCAAGTGTCTCCCTTTTGAACCGCTCACACGTACAAAATGCCTTCATAATTGCTGCTAGTCATTAGTATGTGTATATGAATTAGTGCTGAAAGAGTGCTGGCTGGATCATATTCCTCTGAAGTAGGGCAGGTTTGGGAATGATCTGAAAACAGGACTTTTCTCGGTTACCTCTTGAACTCAGATGTCTATACACTGAGCTGTTAGTGTAGACGGCCCATGATGGCAGAGGGGCCGATTCCCCATGTGGATGACGTGACGGTCTGTTTTTATTATGTTTTCATTCAAAGATGTTCGTTCCCTTCCTATTTATTGAATAATCTCCATGTGCCAAGACTATTCTAAGCGCCGGGGATACATTCTGAACAAATATAGACGGCAGCACATGGCTCTGAGCCGTCTGCAGTTTTTTTCTGCGTGTGTTTGCAAATGTGTTGAGAAAAATAAACAGCATGCTATGAGCCTGAAGAGAAGCAAGCGCTACAGCGTGCTCACCATCTTAAGAGCAATGGAAGAAGGAAAAGCAGACCCATGTCACCAAGATAGAGTCCTCAGGTAGAGGAAGGACAGAGGACAGAGCCTCCGTGCAGGGTTTTGCAGGAGGAGTGTTATCTCTGCAAGAGGAGAAGCCTGGGTGCAGGCCAGCTGTCAGAAGGTGGGGAACCTCAGACATGGACTGTGTCTGTAACATCATCATCGTCTGCTGTAGCTTAGCCTAACTTGTGATTCAGGCTGCCTCCAAGATGCTGGGGCCCAGGTTTGAATGGATCCAGTGAAATTTTCGAAGTTGAGTATATTGAGAGGAGAACACGGGAGGGGGGGGTGTATGCGGTGGGGGTGGGGTGGGGGGTGGGGAGTAGATGAAAGAACGTCTTTGTGAAAAGCGTGAAGAAATGATGATAGCTACCGTCTGTACCTCAAAGAGGGGGCCTCTGCTATACACGTGCCCCTGTGCGGTTCTCCAGGCCTCACTCTTGGTTGGATGCTCTCCTTTTACCTTTTTTTGACCGCATGTGCGTGCATGCGTGTGTGTGTGTGTGTGTGTGTGTGTGTGTGTGTGTGTGTGTGCGCGTGCGTGCGTATACACTGTGTGCCTGCAGAAGCCAGAGTACAGTCTTGGGTGTTATTCCTCAGGCACCTTCTGCCTCCTTTGTTGTTTGAGACAGGGTCTCTCACTGGCCAGGTCCATGTCCTGTAGACTAGGCCGAATGGGCAGTGAGCCCCAGGATCTATGCTTCTCTCCCATCCCAGTGCGGGGATCACAAGTCTGAGACAGCAGGCCTGTTTCTTTTCTGCTAACAATGGTTCTCGGGATTGAACTCCAGTCCTTGGGCTTGCAAGGCAAGCACATTCTGGTCTGAACCCTCTCTCCAGCCCTGCTGTCGCCATCTTAAAAATCTTAGTCATCTTTGAATAGGAGCCCTATAATTTTGTTTTGCAAGGGCTCCCTCAAATTATGCTGGAGTCCCATGAAAAGACGTTACATTTAATGCTTTACTAAAATGATGCTGTTTTCCCTCTTTGGTGACCCAGCGAGAGAGCCTTTCTTTGTTTATGTTTTCACCATGGTTCCAGTTATTGAAATAAGGTCCTCAGGTCTGCACAGTTAGATAGATACCCTTTCCCAGCTGAGCCATCTTGCTGTTTGAGCCCATCACCCCACCCCCGCCACACACACACATAATTAGGTTTATTTTATATATAAGAAAACTAAGGCTTGGTGCCTTGGAGCACGTCGTGGGGTTTGGACCCCACAGCTAATTAGTAACGTAGCCTGGATGCAGATCCAGGTCTGCCTGGCTCCAAAGCCCGTTATTCTATCGGTTAAAATCTCCTGACTTAAAGAAAGGGATCTGATTAGAAGGTTGGAGAGAATGACAGGGTGATCGAAACTGCTGAGTCCCAAAGCAGCCCACGTCTAGCTGGGGCTGGCCGTGTCTCCTGCGACCAGGCTCTTTGTTTTAAATCGGATTTCGTGAACAGGTGTGCTCACCACGGCTCTGTCTTAGCAAACCTCTCACGTCCTCGGCTTCAAAAGGAGAAAATGTCCAAGTTGCCTAAGGCTGGGATTTTTCTTGCTCAGCTGTGCCTTGTGAACAGGAAGAGCAATGCTTTCCTTGCTTCACTAGCTGTGAAGACTCCTCTGTCCTGAAGGCTCAAGGCGTAGGGCAGACAGGTTTAAAGTCACCTGAATACTGAAACCCATGGATAGGCTGGATGTGGGCCTGCTCAGCAGGTTCTGAGTGAGGAGAACTTTGGGCTTCCTCCTGAGGCTCCTCTAAAGCCTTCTGAGCTGGAGGTGTGACTCAGGAGGTCTGTCACCAGCACTGAAGAGAAAAAAAAAGGTGTGATTAAGGTGACAGATGGAATTCTAGTTCAGCGAATAGTCATCCCTCAACGCTGCTGCTTCCAGACTGGTCAGGGCTGAAGATGTGTTTAAAGTGACGGCTAACACAGGACTGAGGACCTGTATTGGAGTTGGGGACCCATCTGCAAAACCCGTTTTTACAGGCATGTTTGGATGTTGGACTGTTCTGATGTTATATGAACCCGTGAGAGTCTATTCAAATTTTATTAATGCATCTGTGCACAGTCTGGATCTGGGGATATGATTAAAAAATGGAAAATTGTTTCTGGTGAAAGGATTTGGAGTTCTGGAGTCAGGAGAAGGAAGAGGGTTCAGCTACATAGTATACAATCTGGCACTGTTCAACTTAAATATTATATTTATTGTAATTATTATTTGCGTGTATGTGCATGTGTCTGCATGTGTGTATGTATTAGGCACATGTGTACTGGAGTGCGTGTGTGTGTTAGGCATGTGTGTACTGGTGTATATGCATATGTATGTCTGTGTGTGCATGTGTGTATGTTAGGCATTTGTGTGCTTGTCTGTAAGTGTGTGTATGTCTTAGGCATGTGTGTACTAGTGTGCATATGTGTGTGTATGTTAGGCATTTGTGTGCTAGTCTATAGGTGTGTGTGTATGTCTTAGGCGTGTGTGTACTAGTGTGCATATGTGTGTATGTGTGTGTATGTTAGGCACATGTGTACTGGAGTGCATATGTGTGTGTTAGGCATGTGTGTACTAGTGTGCATATGTGTGTGTATGTTAGGCACATGTGTACTGGAGTGCATGTGTGTGTGTTAGGCATGTGTGTACTAGTGTATATGTATATGTCTGTGTGTGTATGTGTGTATGTTAGGCACTTGTGTGCTAGTCTATAGGTGTGTGTGTGTGTCTTAGGCATGTGTGTACTAATGTGTGTGTGTGACCGGCATGTATGTGCCAGTGTGCATGTGTGGAGGTCAAAGAACAACTTTCAGGGGTTTCTTGTCTCCTTCCACTGTGAGTTCTAAGCTTTGAACTCAGATGC